TTTTTTTTTTTTGGTTTTTTGAGACAGGTTCTCACTATGTAGTTGAGACTGACCTGGAACTCACTATGTAGCCCAGGCTGGTCTCGAACTCACAGCGATCCTCCTGCCTCAGCCTCCTGAGTGCTGGGATTATAGGCCTACGCCACCGCGCCGGCCTCTACTGTATTTTCTTAGTGTGATTTTCATCGAACTCAGGACCTTGCACTTGCAAGGCAGATGGCTGAACCACTGAGCTAAATTCCCAGCCCAGCCTTCTAAGGACTAATGACATTGAGCATCTTCCCATGTCTATTGATATAAAAAAAGAGATGTATCTTCTCAGGAGAAATGTTCTTTTTGTGAGAAATTTCTATTCAATTTCTTTGCCTATTTGTTAATTTTTATTTTTATTCCTATGGTTGTGTTACAAGAATTTCTTTTTAAAAAGATTTTCTTATATATTCTGGATATTACTCTCAGATATATGATTTACAAAATATTTCTCCCATTCTACAGGTTGTCTTTTCGCTTTCTCAATAGAGAGCCCTTTAAAGTACAAAGGCTTTTAATTTGGAGGAAGTCTAATTTAATTTAGCTAATCTTTTTTGGCTTGTGCTTTTAGTATCATCTCTAAAAACCTTTGTCTGCTCTTTTCACTTTCTCAATAGAGAGCCCTTTAAAGTACAAAGGCTTTTAATTTGGATGAAGTCTAATTTATTTAGCTAATCTTTTTTGGCTTGTGCTTTATTTATTTATTTATTTATTTTGGCTTTTTTTGAGACAGGGTCTCACTATGTAGTTGAGACTGACCTGGAACTCACTATGTAGCCCAGGCTGGTCTCGAACTCACAGCAATCCTCCTGCCTCAGCCTCCTGAGTGCTGGAATTACAGGCATGCGCCAGCTTGTGCTTTTAGTATCATCTCTAAAAACCTTTGTCTGAAAGAAAAAACTTTGTTTAAGGTAATAAAGGGTCATGGGTATGTTTTCTTCTGAGACTTTCATAGCCTAAGATTTTGGTCTCTGGCCCATTTTCAGTTATTTTTTATGTGCCGTGAAACAATCCAACTTTGTTTATTTGTTTGGTTTATTTTATTTTATTTTGAGTCAGGGTCTTGCTATGTCATTCAGGCTGGCCTTGAACTAACTCATGGTAATCCTCCTGCTTCAGCCTCTTGAGTGTTGGAATTATAGGCATGAGCCATCATGCCTAACTGTTCTTCCTTTTCAGACTTTTTTTTAGCTCTTCTGAGTTTCTTATGGTTCCATGTGAATTTAAAGTCAACTTTTCAATTTATGCAAAAAATGCTGAAATATTGGTATTGTGTTGAATCTATAGATCAGTTTGGGAATATTGTAATCTTAACAGCATTAAGCCTTGCAATCCATGAACATGGTATGTCTTTCCATTTATTTAAGATCTTCAAGTTCTTTCCACAATGGTTTGTACTTTTTCATATGTGTTTTGTGTGTCCTTTGTTAAATTTGTTTGTGATTTTTTTTTTCAATACTGGGGATTGAATTTAGGACCTTGCACTTGCGAAGCAGGCACAGTGCCACTGAGCTAAATTCCTGGCCCTGTTTGTGAATATTTTATTATTTTTGATGTTATTGGAAATCAGATTATTTCCTTAATTTCATTTTTGATTGTTCATTGACAGTATATAGATATACAGTTGATTTTTGTATACCAGTTTCATATCTCGCAACTGTGTGAACTTGTTTATTACCTTCAGTTTTGTTTGTTGTTTTTGTTGTTTTTTTGTTTTTTGGTGCCAGGGATTGAACTCTGGACCTTGCACTTGCAAGGCAGGCGCTGTGCCACTGAGCTAAATAATCTCCAGCCCTATTAGCTTCAGTTTGTACCGATGTGTTCCTTAGGATTTTCTGTCTATAAGTTATGCTGTTTGCAAGTATAGTTTCATTTCCTCCTTTCAAACCTGAGTGCCTTATCTTTTTTCTTGTCATGACTAGACCCTCAAGTATAGTATTTAGTACAAGTATTAAGAGCAGATATCATTGTCTTATACCTGATTTTAGAGGAAAGTTTTCAGTTATTCACTATTAGGTATGACAATAACTATGGGATTTTCACAGATATTCTTTGTCAAGTTGAGGAAGTTCCCTTTTGTTACTTGTTTTTTTATCATAAGAAGGTATTGGATTTTGTCAAATGCTTTTTTTGGAATTTATTGATTTACCTCATAATCATGTTTCTGCTTAAATAGTCTTCTTTTTTTTTCCTGACAACATTTTAAGGAAGGTAATCACCAACCCTAGATTGCAATCTAAAATCAAAAGAAAAAAATAAAAATAAATAAAAACACAGTCCCAGCCTGGTGTGGTGGTGCACACCTACAATCCCACTACACTAGGAGGCTGATGCAGGAGGATCATGAGCCAGTTTTGGGCAGTTCAGCAACTCAGCAAAACAGTTTGTTTTATTTATTAATATGGTTTGTTAAATAGATTACTTTTTATATGTTGATCCAACCTTGCATTCCTGACATAAATATCAGTTTATCGTGCTGTGTAAACCTTTTATATGTTGCCAGATTTGGTTTGCTAGTAATTTGTTGAGTTTTGTTTCTGTATTCATAAAGGATATTGATGTTTCAAGTGATATCTGTGGTATAAGGGTAATACCAGATTCACAGAATGAGTAGGGAAGTATTTCCTCTTCTATTTTTTTGGAAGAGTTTGTGAAGAATTGCTGGAAGATTCTTCTTTAAACCTTTCATAGAATTCAACTGTAAAGCCATTATATTTGGTCCTGGCTTTTCTTTGTGGCAGTTGTTTTTAATGCAGTCTCTTGTTATAGATCTCTTCAGATTTTCTGTTTCTTCTTGATTTGATTTATCTCTTAGAAATCTGTCCCTTTCATTTCGTTATCTGATTTGTTGGTATACATTATTCATAGTATTCCCTTATAATACTTTTTAAATTTTTGTAAGGTTTGTGGTACTGGCCTCTCATTTCTTTTCTGTTACTGAGGATTGAACTCAGAACCTTGCACTTATAGGACAGGCTGTGGAAACACTGAACTAAATCCCTGGACCTCTCTTTCATTTCTGATTTTAATAATTTGAGCCTTGTGACATTTTCTTGATCAGTTGAGCTACAGATTGTTTTTGTTTTTTTTGTGTTTTTTTTTTTTGTTTGTTTGTTTTTTTTTTGGTACCGGGGATTGAACTCGGGTCCTTGCGCTTGCAAGGCAGAACAGGTTGCTAATTCTATTTATCTTTTCAAAAAACTAACTTTTGGTTTCACTGATTTTTAATTTTTTTTCTATTCTTCATTAACTTCTGCTCTAATCATCATTATTTATTTCTCTCTGCTATTTTTGGACTTAATTTGCTTTTCTTTTTCCAGTATTCTAAGGTAGAATTCTAGGTCACTGATTTGAAAGGACTTTCTTATTTATTTATTTATTTACTTACTTATTTATTATTTACTTAGTTATTTACTTACCTACTTATTTATTTGTGGTACTGGGAATTGAACCCAGCACCTTAGCACTGAGCTACATTTCCAGACCCTTTTTAAAATTTTTATTTTGAGATAGTCTTGCTGAGTTGCAGAATTGCCCAAACCTGGCTCACAGTCCTCCTGTGTCAGCCTCCTAGTGTAGTGGGATTATAGGTGTGCACCACCACACCAGGCTGGGACTGTGTTTTTATTTATTTTTATTTTTTTCTTTTGATTTTAGATTGCAATCTAGGGTTGGTGATTACCTTCCGTAACATGTTGTCAGGAAAAAAAAAAGAAGACTATTTAAGCAGAAATATGATTATGAGGTAGAATTACTTTTTGAAATTTTCCTTGAAAACAAAAGTTTACTCATTTAGGTAGACATTCAAAACTGATCATGAATCAGGAACATTATGCTATCACTTAAAAAATAAGAACAAGGGCTGAGGATATAGCTCAGTGTCACCACATCTGCCTGGCAAGTGCAAGGTCCTGAGTTCCATTCACAGTACTAGAAAAAAAAATGTAAAAATAAAAAATAAGAACAGAATCAAGAACACAAATAAAATATGAAGATATTTCCATCCTCAATATGGGTCACATTTTACATTGCAATTTAAAGATATAACTGTTATAACCTCCTTAAAACTGCACAGTCATTCTGATAGCTATTTACCATACATGGTAATTCTGAGAATTACAGCCAACTCCCTTAGGTTAATTTGAAGCCTAAGAGCACAGTTGTTACACACAGTCAGTGGGATGTGGAGTCTTGTCAAAATGCATTCTCAGCATTCTTTTATGTTTTCTCTTCTGCACTTAGCAATGCATGCTGTATCACCTATTTTTCTTAATTCCTCATTTCCTCCATCCCTTAAACTATTTGACTAGGGTATCTTTTGTTCTTTATGCAAACATATCCTTGCTTTGAACATAACTGGTATGATGAATGCCACAGTTATTCGTCAAACTTTTTTTTTCTTTTTGCTATTCATAACGTTTTCTTTGGCAAACTCCAGTAACTTCCCACATTGACTAGGTCACTACTCTGGCATTTGGACATGCAGTCATGTTAACTACTATTTTCCTTTGTAATTCAACCCCTTCTATTAGATAGCTTACTTTAGCAATCAATGACCTTTATAATATCCTAATCACATGTTTGTGCAAAAGTCAAAGTATCTCTAAAACATTGCTGTTTTTCCTAAAAGTTCAGTCTTGCCATAGCTTAACGACTTAAAGGAAAGAACACAGAAAAAGAAAAGAACAAAGGAAAGCGGGGGGGCAAAAGTCCAACCGTAGTCACTACAATGATTGGTTGGTCTTAAGCTTATTCAATTTAGAAGACATTGTGATTATTTACACAAAAAGAAAGAAAGTCAAGTGAAAACCTGATAGTGATGTAGTCTCCTGAAAGCTTTGTGTTGAGAGGTTGAGCACAGCTGCTTTCTTTCTCTAGCGGGATGACAGAAAGTGGGCTCCAGATGCAATGTAAACATGTAGGGTTAGATAGTTTCCCTGCAGCAAAAACAATGGATAAGTTGCCCAGGAAATTGTGAAATGCTTTCTAATGATCTTTAAAGATATAATGGACACTAATTCATCTGGATTTGTTTAGGTGTGGTCCTGGTTAAAGACAAAAGGAAGGATCAGATAGCTTCACGCTTTTTCCATTTACCATACTCAGTGAATTCTTCAGAGAAGGGAAAACGAGCAAGATACAACTCACTATCCTAAAAACAATCAGCCGAAGGGAGTCATTTTGAGAGCATCTGTTTTGTACTTAAGTCTTTAGGACTTAACCAAACTGACTACACAGTGAAAAATTCTAGTGCCTGGGTTTTATAAAGAAGGAAATGGATTCAGATGGCCAACACTTGCGGTTAAGATCAACAATGAGATCCTCCATGCTGTCTTTCTGTTTTAACTTTTCTGGATAATATCAAATTAGTTTCAGTGGCTTTATTCTAGGCCAAGATTCTGGCAACATATTATAGTCTCACTTTGTTTTGTACAATCTCAATGGATCTCTCTCTTTTTTCTCCCCTTAGGCTGAAGGTAAAAAGCTGGGATTGGTAGGCTGGGTCCAGAACACTGACCGGGGCACAGTGCAAGGACAACTGCAAGGTACCAGGTCCAAGGTGCATCATATGCAGGAATGGCTTGAGACAAAAGGAAGTCCCAAGTCACACATTGAAAGAGCAAACTTCAACAATGAGAAAGCCATCTTAAAGTTGGATTACTCGGATTTTCAAATTGTGAAATAATGGCCTGAATTTAAATTTTCCAAGATAGGTCCAGTACTTTTGGGTTTTACTGTTAATAAACATAGCACTATTCTGTGTTCAATGTGAAAATTTGTCAGTAAGTTATTTTAGTATCAAATATTTGCCTGTTATTGTATATTACATGTACAATGGAAAGATTACAGTTATACAGAGTTCCAATTAATAAAAACACATGAAAACCTTCTGCTTATGGTACTTTTTATTTATTTATTTGTATGATACTTTTTAAATGGACAGTGAATTTCCTTTTGGGTAAAAGGAAGTATTATTCAATAACCATTTGTGGAAGAAAAATTTTGAGGTCACTTAAAGAGGTCTGATCCTAAAAGAAAAAGCACTTTCTTTTTTTCTTTGTGGTAATACGGAATTTGTTTTTTGTTTTGGGGGGTTTTTGTTTTGTTTTGTTTGGTACTGGGGCTCGAACTCAGGCCCTTGCACTTGTGAGGCAGGCAGCAGAACCACTGAGCTAAATCCCTGGCCTGGTAATATGGAATTTGAATGCATGGCGTTTGCACTACACTAATACCCCACCCCTCTGTAGTTCAGACAAGCCTTGAACTTCCTGCCTCAGCCTTCTGAGTGCTGGGACTACAGGCCTTGCTCCTGGCTCCCAGCCCCTTTTTTCCCCCATTAAGTTTATTGGTACATTTTAGGTATACGATATAGTTACATTTATCATTGGGATTTTGTACCTTTACATGATGTATCTTGGTTCTTATTTTTTCCCCATTCCCCTGCCCTCCCTTCCTCTCCCCTACCCTTCCCTATTTACAAAAATTTTGTTTCTTTTTTTTTCTTTTTCTCATATTTTTTCTTTTCCCTTCTTTTCTTTCCCCTACCCTTCCCCTACTCCTTTAGACATTTTCTTCCCATTTCACATTATCAGGTATCCTTTTTTTTTTTTTTTGGTACCAGGGATCAAACTCAGGCCCTTGCACTTGGGTGGCAGGTGGCAGAACCACTGAGCCAAATCACCACCATCACCACCCTCAATTATATATTTTGATGCTTATTTACACTTTTAGCTTTTCACACCAGAGAAACTATTCCATATTTACACATGTGTATCCTATTTATTTCACTTGAGTATGGCCTCAATATGCATCCATTTAGCTATAAATGTCTCTAGTTTCTCGTTCTTTATGGCAGAGTAGTACTCCATTTTACTAAAAACAACAACAAACCAGATCTTTATCCAGTCCCCAGTTGATGGGCAATTGGGCTGTTCTCAAGTTTTAGCTATTACAAACTGCTGCTATAAACATGGGTGCGCATATATCACAGTGCTATGATTCTTTATTTATTTTTTTTTTTGAGACAAGGTCTCACTATGTAGTTGAGACTGACCTGGAACTCACTATGTAGCCCAGGCTGGTCTCAAACTCACAGCAATCCTCCTACCTCAGCCTCCCAAGTGCTGGGATTACAGGCATGTGCCACCATGCCTGGCTCTTATTCTTTTAATTCTTTTGGGAAGATACCCAGCAGAGTAATAGCTGGATCAAATGGGACCTCTAATCCTAGTTTTTTGAGGTATCTCCATATTGATTTCCACAGTGGTTGCACCAGTCTGCACTCCAACAATGGAGAAGGGTTCCTTTCTCCCCACAACCCTGCTAGCATTTGGTATTTCTTAATCAAGAAATCAACCACTCTTTCTGGGGTGATGTGAAATCTCAGTGTTGTTTTCATCTGCATCTCTCAAATGACCAGTGATGTTGAACATTTTTTTCATATATTTTCTGCTTTTACTTCTTTGAGAAATGTCTGTTCATTTCAGATGACCATTTTTGAATTGGGTCTTTATATTTGGGCGGGTCTGATTCTTTTAAAATTCTTTATATATTCTAGATAGTAGTCCTTTGTCTGAGGAACAGCTGATAAATTTTTTTTTCCCACATTGTAGGTTATCTCTTAGCTCTGTTGGCTTCTCTTGCAGTACAGAAGCTTTTTAATAAGATGAGATCCAAGTTGTTTATTCTTTGTGCTAGTTCCTGTGCTACTGAGGTTTTATTCATAAAGTCTTTTATAGCCAGGGGCATTAGTATTTGGTGCATATATATTTATGATAGTTATCTTTTCCTCTTGGATTGTTCCCTTTACAAGGATGTAGTGAACTTTTGTCTTTCTTAATTAGTTTTGGTTTGAAATCTACTTTGTCTGCAAATAAGATAGCTATCCCTGCTTTTTTCTGGGTTCCTGTTGCATGGAGAACTGTTTTCCAACCTTTTACTTCCAGACTATGAATTTCGCTTCTTTTATTTTGGTACCAGGGATCGAACATGGGTTTTTGAACTTGAAAGGCAAGTGGCAGAACCACTGAGCTAAATCCCTGGCTAAATTTCTCTTCTTAATCCATTCTGCCAGTCTGTTTCTTTTGATTGGTGAATTGAGGCCACTAACATTGATGGTTATAACTGATATGTATTGACTCATCCTTATTATGTTATTTTCCTGTTTTTGGCTCCTTTATTTTTTGTTTTTCCCCCTCTCCCTTTAATTTCTTGCTTTGCCTGATTGACCAGCCCTTTTTGTTGTTGTTGTTATTGGGCATCAAAGTCGGGAACTTCTGCTTGCAAGGCAGGCAGCAGCACCACTAAGCTAAATCCCTGGCCCCTCAGCCCTTTTTAACAAAATATTTTTTGGAGACAGAGTCTTGCTAAATCCCTAAGTTGCCCAGCCTGGGTTTGAATTTGCAATCCTCCTGTCTCAGCCTCCCAGAATGCTGAGTAGGCATGCACCACTGTGCCTGTTTTTAAATCATTTCTTTAAATGATTCCCAATTTCTACTGTTATTCATTTTCTTCAGATAAAAAATTCACATCAAGTAATGGGCTAAACTGTGACTCCATTCATATGCTGAAGTCCACTGAAAGTTTTGTAGGAAATATGGCCTTTAAAGAGATAGTGAGGATGAAATGAGCCAGGCATTGTATACATGCCTCTTAATGTCAGTTACTCTGGATGCTGAAGCAGGATGCACAAAAGTTTGAGGTCAGCCTGGGCAATTTTGTGAGGCTCTCTCTTAAAAAAAAAAAAAAAAAAAAAAGTGCTTGCATAGTACAAGAGTCTGAGTTTCATCCCAGTACCACTATAAAAAAAATTTTTTTTAAAAATGAGACTGTACCCTAATTCAACCTGACTGGTGTTCTTATATAAAGGAGAAGTCTGCACACAGATATATGTGTGCACAAAGGACCACATGAAGACAGCTGTCTACTAACTGACGAGTGAGGCCTCAGAGAAATGATCCTTACTGACACCTTGATCCCAGACTTCTAGTCTCCAGAATGCTGTTTAAACCACCCATTCTGTGGTATTTTGTCATGGAGCCTTAGCAAACTAATATACGCAGTAATCAAAATTTTGCTTTATTGGCCCCAGAAGTCTATTTGGTTTGGTTAGTGATTAAACAAATGTAGTTCAAACACTTACTGGGTTTACAAAATGTTGTCATAGGTTCCAATTTTTTTTAATTAGCTTTCAATGAAATTGAGACAGAAAGCAGAAACTGAGGACTGGTTAATAATTTCCAAAACATTTACTCTCCAAATGTTCTTAGAGTTCTGCTTTCCTTCAGTCAGGAAAGAAGCTGTGATGTTACTGGGAATACACCAAAAAAGCTAATGAGGGGAGTCCTGGTGTCCTCATTTGTAACTTGAGAGATGAACTCATTTCTTAGTCTTTTCCAACTATGAAAACCATTAATTCTAAGATGGAAGGCTCTGGATTTATTCACTGAGTGCCCACCATACGCGAGGCATTGGACTTGACTGTGCATTCAGCAGTAAGCAAAATAAGACAAAATCCCTACCTTCACCTAGCTTACATTGTGTGAAGACAGAAGCAAATAAAAGTATGTCTTTTTTTTTGTTCTATAAAAAAGTACAAATTAAATATTACATACAAAGGGAAAAAAAGTGAGAAAAAAGAAAATGAAAACCACAAAAGTAAAACTTACTACAGCTTTTCAGGCTGGGTGTGGTGGCACACGCCTGTAATTCCAGCACTCTGGGAAGCTGAGGTAGAAAAGACTCTGAGCCCAGCCTGGACAATTTAGGGATTTAGCAAGATCTTCTTTCAAAAAAATAAAATTTAAAAAAGGGTCTGGGAATGTAGCTCAGTGTGAAAGCCCTGGGTTCAATCTCCAGTACTGCAAAAGAAGAAAGGGGGTAGAGGGCCGGGGAGAGAAAGGAAGAGGAGGGAAGAGGAGGAGCCTTTCACTCCAAACCAGAATAAGAAGTGAGAAGTGGAGGCGAGAGAGTTCCCAGCCTAGAACACCTGGTGCGCACGCGCACTGGGGTGTCGCGGGAGCTAGCAAGCTCCCGGCAGGCGAGTCTCAAAAGCGCATGCTCCTGGGCCTGCGCGTGCACAAGCTTCCCGAGCCTAGGTGCGCGTGTACGGTGTCCGAGGCGGTTGATTTCGGAGAGTCGGTGAAGCGATATTTGAGGTGACTAGGGGGGGAGCCCGTGACCTACGGATGATCCCGGGAGCTCTTCTAACACCAGAAAGGCCCTGATGACTGTTGCAGGCCCGCTTTTCGAAGCTAGATGCCCAAGGCCCCCGAGCGCGGCCTCCGGTCCCCGTGCGCCGGGAGTTTGCTTCTCGGGCCCGGGAGGGGCAGCCAGGCGCCCCCGGGCGGCGGAAGCCCGGGACCCGACTGATGAGTCTGGATGAGTCCGGATTCTGGGGGGTGGATTTGAAAGAACTAGGATGGAATCAAGGACTCTTTTTTTGGGGTTTAATGATAGAACTAATTAAACATTCACCCCAATTTGTCGACTACTAAATTCAGTTTCTTGAGTTCTGTAGTCATAAGCACTGATTTTCCTAGGTTTGGAAATCCAGCCCTACCACCCAGGAGACTCAGCCATGCTGCTCTCTCACTTAATGAAGAGAAAGGGACCTTTAATGGTCTTAGAAAAATTTGTACCAGCAAGAAAAATAAATTCAGACAGCCCATACCGTCATTATAGCCAAGTTAGTTTGTGCCCACATGTAAAGATCAAGGATATTGATACAAAAAAAGATTAATAATAAGGACCTTTGAAAGATCTTTTAAATGTGGACCTGAGGATCAAACTCAAGGCCTCACACAAGCTCTAGGCAAGCACCCCACCACTGAGCTACACTTGTGCCCCCTCCGAAAGACTTGTGTTCTTTCGGTCCTGGGGCTTGAACCGAGGGCCTTTGTACAGAGTCACATCCCAGCCCTTTCTATTTTTTGAGACAGTCACACTAAGTTGTACTGGCTGGCCTTAAACTTGGGATCCTCCCGAAGCCTTAGCCTTCTAAGTAACTGGGCTTACAGGTGTATCCTACAGTGTCTGGCTCCAAAGTTTGTGTTTTTTTTTTGTTTGTTTGTTTGTTTTTTTAAACCAAAGTAATAAAGATTTGAAGGTCAAACGGTAAAGAAAGCTTATATGCAAATAAATTTTCTTACCTTTTCCCATTCCCAGCCTCTTTCCCCCGGGACAACTACATTTAACCAATAATAATAACAAATGTTATAATCTCTTAAGGCCTATCTTTGCTTAATAGAAGAATTTGACTTTTTTCTTTCCTCCTATTGCTTCACCTGCCTATTTACAGTGTGTTAGCACTTCATTATGAGCTTTTCTAAAAGTAATGGTTATTGTGTAATATATAAATGTTATAAAACTAGCTTGGGATTTTTTTCATGAATAATTTCTAGCTAATGTTTCTTAGCTGAATTTAATTTAGGCATCTGTTTTTGGTAAATGGTTAGAATTTTGAATACTGTCTTTGCAAGTCAATGTCAAGTGTAATTATGATTTCACTACAGGGCATGAGGGATTTAGAAGGGAACAGTGAAAGTTATGAAATTATGAATGCTTCTTTGGATGTTAAATTTGTTGTACCAAGTATGAATTGTGTGATCTGCCTAGAAATTAGAGGTATAATTTTGTTTTGTGCTGTTTTGGTTCATAATTTGGTTTAATAAAATATTTCATTTGCGTCAAATAATATTTCTTAATAGTAGGTGAGAGAAAAAGGTAATGCTATGTAACACTGAAGCTTTGATAGTGTGTGTGACTTTTTTTCTTCCCATAGGCAGTTATTTCCAAAGAAGGAAACCAGTTGCTGGCATTCTCACCACCTTTCTACCTGCCATGATCAAGTGCTTGTCAGGGGAAGTAAAAGCCAAATTGTGTTCTGGTTTGGCCATAAATTCCTTTGGGCAGTGTGTTGAGGAACTTGCTCTCAACAGTATTGATGCTGAAGCAAAATGTGTGGCCATCAGGGTGAATATGGAAACTTTCCAAGTTCAAGTGATAGACAATGGATTTGGGATGGGGAGTGATGATATAGACAAGGTGGGACATCGTTACTTCACCAGTAAATGCCACTCATTACAGGACTTGGAGAACCCAAGGTTTTATGGTTTCCGAGGGGAAGCTTTGGCAAGTATAGCTGACCTGGCCAGTGCTGTGGAAATTTCATCCAAGAAAAACAAGACAATGAAAACATTTGTGAAGCTGTTTCAGAATGGAAAAGCCCTGAAAGCTTGTGAAGCTGACTTGACTAGACCAAGTGCAGGGACAACAGTAACAGTATATAACCTATTTTGCCAGTTGCCTGTAAGGAGGAAATGCCTGGATCCTAGACTGGAGTTTGAGAAGGTTAGGCAGAGGATAGAAGCTCTCTCGCTCATGCACCCTTCCATTTCTTTCTCTTTGAGAAATGATGTTTCTGGTTCTATGGTTCTTCAGCTCCCTAAAACCAAAGACATATGTTCACGATTTCGTCAAATTTACGGATTGGGCAAGTCCCAAAAGCTAAAAGAAATACATTTTAAATTTAAGGAATTTGAGCTTAGTGGATATATCAGCTCTGAAGCACACTATAACAAGAATATGCAGTTTTTGTTTGTGAACAGACGACTAATTTTAAGGACAAAGTTGCATAAACTCATTGACTTTTTATTAAGAAAAGAAAGTATTATATGTAAGCCAAAGAATGGCTCTGCCAGTAGGCAAATGAATTCAAGTCCTCGACATCGGTCTACCCCAGAACTCCATGGGATATATGTAATCAATGTGCAGTGCCAGTTCTGTGAGTATGATGTGTGCATGGAGCCAGCAAAAACTCTGATTGAGTTTCAGAATTGGGATACTCTCTTGATTTGCATTCAAGAAGGAGTGAAAATGTTTTTAAAGCAAGAAAAATTATTTATGGAATTATCAGGTGAAGACATTAAGGAATTCAGTGAAGATAATGATTTTAGTTTACTTGGAACTTCTCTTCAAAAGCATATGTCCTCTGATGAGAAGCATGACCAGGGCAGTTTCCAGGAAGCATGTAATAATATTTTGGATTCCTATGAAATGTTTAATTTGCAATCAAAAGCTGTGAAAAGAAAAGCTACTATAGAAAACATAAACACACAGAATTCTAGGGATTTACAAGCTATCAGAAAAAAGACAGATAACTCATCTTTGTCCACTTGTGAATTAGATGGCCCAGACCACAGTAAAATGACAGAATTATCTTTATACAATACAGACAGCTCTTCCTTAGAGTCAAGGATGTTAGAAGAAGAGACAGTTGAAACAACAGAATTAAGAGAAAATGAGAAAAATAAAAAATCTTTCTCAGAACTTAACTCTTTAGAAAGTCCATGTGGGAAGAGTTCAGAAATGTTTTTAAGCCTTTGTCAGACACAACAGTACTCTGAGGAGAGTGGGTCAGATCTAGAAATACAGAAAGTAAGTACACTTGTTAATGGCATGGCTGCCAATATCCTGAAAAATAACAGAACTCAAAATCAACTAGAGAGATTTCAAGATGCTACTGAAATGAGATGCCAACCTCTGTCTTTTGGGACATCATTGAGAGTTCATAGTGCTCAGCGAGAAAAAGAGCCTAATGATTGTAACAGAATAAATATTTTTAGTTATGGACAAGTTAAGCTATGTTCCACTGGCTTTATAACTCATGTTGTACAAAATGACCAAACTAAATCAACTGAATCAGAACATTCCTTTAAGAACTTTGTCCGACCTGGTCCTGCATATGCCCAAGAAATATTTGGAAACAGAATAGATCATTCAGTTGAGACTCCAGACATCAAACATTTAACTAGCACTTTAAGTAAAAAATCTGCTCACCTGCCCAACAAAGACTTTTGCAGAACAAACACGAGTTATAAACTAGCAAACAAACATATAACAACTTACAGAAATTCTGCAGTTTTCCAGGAAGGTGCCAAAGAAGCACATACCAGTTGGTTATTACCTGATACATCATCTTCTTTCCCTTGGCATAGACATATTTCAAATAATAGTAAGAAAACAGATAAATTGGTTACTTCCTCCAAGCCCATAGTCCGTAAAAAGCTAAGCTTGAGTTCACAAGTAGGATCTTTAGAGAAGTTTAAGAGACTATATGGGAAGGTTAAAAGTCCTCTGGATACAGAAGTAGAGGGAAAGAATAGTGAAGTCACTACCAGTCTCAGTCCTCAAGTTGAATCTGACATTTCACTGAAAGATGACCCCTTAGATAACTCTGATGTTTGTAAAATCACTACTATGAAGCATAATGATTCAAATAATAGTTGTCAACCAAGAAGTCACATACTGTACTCAGAGAAATTTCCATTCTCCAAGGAAGAGGCTTGTTTGGAACAACAGATGCCTTATTTGAGAGAAAGTCCTATAACTCTAACAGAGTTACTTCAATCTAACAGAAAACTTTTGGATGTTGAGAAATCACCTGAATCACTAGCCTCTAAATTATCCAGACTGAAGGGTTCTGAAAAACAGACTCAAATAATGGAAATGATGAGTCATTTTAATGAATTTCCAAATTCAGATCCCAGTAGAAAAGACAGTGACTTGTGCAGTATGTTAGCCCTAGATTTTTGTCAGTTATTTAAAAATGAACATGAAAAAATAGAGAGTGGCATCATCCCAGTGGTAGATTCTGTCATGCAGGATTATTCCTCTAATAACAGTGAAACACATTGTAGCAGCAGTACAGCAGAGAATCTGCTAATATCCGAAACTCCGCTAGTATTACCCTATAATGATGTTACGTTAACTAAAGATGATGTTCTTAGCAGAGCCTCAGAACAACAGATAGAAAGTCCTTACTCTCCCAGTAGAATGTTAGTAAGTCAAGCAGAAAATACCACAGTTGACCAAAATAGAGTTTGTTCTCCCAGTAAAGATTCTGAAGCAAGAGCTTGTTCTGAAAATGAAGAGTCAAACACCTGTTCTTCAGAATGGCAGCAGCATTTTGATGTAGCCCTGGGAAGAATGGTTTACATCAACAAAATGACTGGACTTAGCACATTTGTTACTCCTACTCAGGATGTTCAGACTGCTTGTACTAAAGATCTGACAACAATGGCTGTGGATGTGATACTTGGGAATGGTAAGTACTATATAGTGTTCACTGGAAAGAAATGCTTTTGAAGATAGGAAGAATGTTCAAGGAGTAAGGTAATTGTTATTCAGAGATACTTTCAGCTCAGCAGACAGAACATTTGAAGACTGATTATGAAACATGTTTTTCTTTATGGTATATGAAGATTTTTCTAAGTCCAGCACTAAATACAGAAATAACAATGAAAGACTGTTAAAAGATGTACATGTAAGGCCATTCATGGTGGCGCACACCTGTAATCCCAGCACTTGGGAGGCTGAAGCAGGAGATTGCCATGAGTTTTGAGGCCAGCCTAGGCTCCACAAGTGAGTTCAAAGCCAGCCTGAACTACATAGTGAGACCTGTCAAAAAAAAAAAAGTGTATATATGTATTTCTGTGGGTATATATACAAGGAGTGATAAAAAATACAGTGAATGTTAAATTTTAAGTTTATTACAGTAGAAGACAGTGCCATTAATCCTTGTTCTTGCCACTTTCTGAAGCAGTTCTAGAAGTCTTTTGTGAGTGTTTTTATTAGGTATAATTAAAAAATGAAGAATGCCGTTACCAAGTACCATCCAAAGGGACAACAGACTTGTAAAAACATTATGTCTTTATTCAGTAGATCTGGCACTGTGCAACTTCTGACCTTTCCCCAAAGTCAAAATGATTATGAAAGGTAAATGTTTTGAATCAATTCAGGACATTAAGGTAACAATTCTCACAAAAGACTTCTAGAACTGCACAGAAAGTGGCAGGAATAATGAGATAAATGTGTATAAAGTGAGGAAGATTTGCCCTTTTCCTTTTCTAGTTGGGGAGATTTGGCCTTCTGTTCTAGGATCATTTTGTGGTCTTTGTTCAATTTTAGCCTGGCAAGAACCATCTTGCTGGGAGCCATTTGCCTTTTCCTGGGGCACCCATTCAATATAGATGACATATTTCTTCCTGTAAACCTGGACTACTTAGCCAGTCTGCTGACCCTAATGACCTTTATAGTATTCTCGCACAAACTGAACCTCATCATCCTTTCAAAGGGGCATAGATCAGGCACGTGCTTCTGTCTCAGCTCTTTGCAAAGAGCGGAAGACATAATCCCTGCAAATCTGGGAAGGTGCATTGAAATGCCTTTTACAGTTCTTCCTTCTGTCTGAAGACACAACAGGATTGAACTTCATTTTGGAGGCTGCAGCTTCAGTAATAGCTGCAAAATGAAAGAGGTGCATTTTCACTTCATTTTTAATCACTCCTAATGAAAAGGAAAGGCAGAACTGTCCATTTTAATAAGAATGATGTTTATAACTGAGAAGATCCACAGTGCTTCCCTGCCCTACTTCTCCCTCCTTCAAAACACAACTTTCCTACAAATTTGTCTTTAAAGGCACGCAAGTTTCTTTCTGTGGCTCCTACACTAAAGGCTAGAATGGTTCTGTAGTCATCCTAGGTTTTCCAGTAAAATCCATGGCTCAGTACAGTGCTGTTTTATAAACTTCTTTTTCCAGAAAGAAGGACTTGACTAACAGTTTTTCAAAATATAGGCTAAGTACATACTTTTGTAACTATACCTGTCAAGTATACTTTATTATAATGCATATAGAAATCCACCTGATATGTTTCAGTATAAGAAGACACTATTGAGGAGAATAGTATTGTGGTTTTTAGATCAAACCACAGGTTACATCAGAGCCTAGACTAGGACTCTGGGTCCTCAGGTCTCAGTCAGCATTAAAAATGACATTGTTTTGGCAGTGTGTCGAGAGCCAGATGTTGAGAGATAGTAAAGCTGATTCCCATCTGGCTATAATCTTGGCTTTGGACTAGGAAGATAAACATTAAATCTGTATCCATATTAAAAGTCATGAAGGATGCAAAAGAATATCAATTGTATGAATGTAATTTCAGATTGACATATAATTTCTTAAGATGAATACTAGGAGACTGAATTATCTAAGGATAAATAAGACCTTTACTTTTAAATGTTTTTCACTTTTTTCTTTGTGAAAAAAATAATCAGTGTTGTAACTTTCAAAGTATTCAACAGGAGGAGAAAACTCTTTTCTTTCAGTATTGCTCCTGAGACTATCAAGTTACTTTTAAGACAACATTATGTGTTTTCTAAGCTAGATCATTTTCTGTACTGATTTCTACTGAATGCTTCTCAGAGATAAATCTAAGGCACCGGCACCTCATCTTATGGAATGCAGCTGCTTCTGATGTGGTGCCAGGAATTAACTAGATTATGTTAAACTGATATTGTTGTTGCCAAAACAAAGGGGGAAATTCTAGTTGCCATACTCAGCATACATCTGCTCCTGTTAAATAACTCTAGATATTTAAAACCCTTCAATCCACTCCACTCTCTGGATTAGCATATCTTGTAGTGAATTTTGAGGATCATGTTAACTCATAGCCTCTCAGTGAAAAACGTCTTTGGTATAGAAAGAAGTTCCATGAAAAACGTGACTCCTCATCAACCCCCATTCACATGGAATGGTGCCTCTCTGGAAATGACTTATGTGCAGTAAGACAGTAGAGCAGGTTTGACCCACACATATAAATGCTACAAGAACCTATAAAGGCAATTTTAAAGAGCAATGTCAAGTACACAAACCCTGGCAGTTTTTAAAAGAGTATCTGTAACACAGTCTTTCCTGTTAACACTTACACAACCTTATTTTACCTCATACCTTAATACATTATTAATTTCTCTCTTCAATTTTTGTCCAGCAAATTTATCATTTTGAAAAAAGAGCTTCACCATGTTTTGCTCCTGCTCAAAACTCTCATAGTCATCAGCATTGTTCCTTTTTTTCGGGGGGGCAGGTTTTGAGTCAGGGTCTCACTATGTAGTTGAGACTGACCTGGAGCTCACTGTGTAGTCCAGGCTGGTCTCGAACTCATAGTGATCCTCCTGCCTCATCCTCCCAAGTGCTGGGACTACAGGCGTGAGCCACCACACCTGGCCATCAGCATTGTTTCTAAAACTCAAAACCTAATCATTCTTCAGAGATGTGTAGAGTTTGAGCAGAATTGTACCACACTTTTGTAACTTGGGAATTTGATTTGAGAATCTCTCTCTCTTTCTCTGAGACAGATTCTTATAATGTATTTCATGCTGGCCCTAAACTCATTATGTATCCCAGGCTGGCCTCAAACTCACAGTGATTTTCCTGCCTTGGCCTCCTGAGTGCTGGGATTACAGACATGTGCCACCACACCTGGCTAAATTAAGAACTTTTCATTCAATATTTGTGATTGTTGCACTCTGCTAGATGTTGCCACACTGCAGATAAACTGACTTTGCTTTAAGCATTTCACAGCCTTATTATGATATAAAATAAATTATTGTATAGTAAACACATATTGGGGATAAGAGACATAAATTGGGAATTTGTGAAGGTTGCACCAAATTGTGGGTGACAGTTAAAGACCACTGTCTAGCAGGGTTTCTGTGGGTAATTCTTATTGTAGAGTTTGTCTTAGTTAATTGTAGGATATATAGCTTATCACTGGCCTTTATCTGCTAGATCCCAGTGGCATTCTTCACCTAAATTGTGACAACAAAGAATATCTTAAGAAATTGCCAAATGCCCCCCCACACCCCCTATGTCACTGACCTGTTCTAGACTCATTCTCTCTGATGTAGAGGGATAATGGGACTAAAGGTTAATGCAGATTCCTAATTTAGCAGATTTCATTAAAGAACGTCTGGTTCTCAATCTAGTGTGTAATAGCTGTTTTATGTCTTCATTCACTTTGTGGAGATTTTATGTAATTTTAATCATTTGTTTGTATGTTGAGTTCAAATTTCTAGGTTTCTCTTTTTTATATTTAGGGTCTCAGTACAGGTGTCATCCTTTTAGAAGTGACCTTGTGCTTCCTTTCCTTCCAAGAGCTCGGGAAGAGAGAACTGTGATGAGACAGAATAACACAGGTGGGGGCAAAAGCAGAGATTGCAGGGACACCTAGTACACACTGTACCACCTAATGTGAAAAACAGAGCAGAGTTGCATTATTAAGCTTGATCAGTGGCAGCTGTGCCTTACTGGAACCAGGAATTCCCCACGGCCCTATTTAATGGCAGAACTAAGTAATTCAGTGCACGCATTTAGATCAGAAATTACTTTTCCAGACTTGAGGTCAGTGCTGGGTGATTATGCATAATCTGTGGTGTCTTGTGAGTGGGGAAATATTTATTTATTTATTTATTTATTTATTGGTACTGGGGATTGAACTCCTTGTGCTTGTGAGGCAGGTGGCGGCACCACTGAGCTAAATCCCCAGCCCAATATTTCTTATTTCTAAAGATTGGAGTTCTACTCCATATTGCATTAGTTTGATTTAAGCAAAACTCGGTGACAAAAGCTACAGAAAACCTATTATTTTTGTTTCAAAAAACAGGTAAGGTAAAATAATAACAGAGGTAAGGTGTATTTTTTACCTAAAGGCCGTAAGTTTACTACTTTGTGCCATAGCTTTTTCTGAACTTGTATTCTGAATTATCTCTAGATTACAGTTTGGAGAAAAGCTGTAAGGTCAGAAGATACAGTCCATCAACTCTAGTTGAAAAAATAACATCACAACTTATTGATGCAGTATAGCAGAACCTGAACATTGTAGAACATTGGAACCATGTGTCTGATCTTTGCTCTACAGACCGTAGCCAAACAAGAGAGGCCATTCATATTTTTTCTTTGGGACTCTTGATGCTCACCTTATCTGTCCACTTTGTCCTAGATGCTGTGGATGATGCTGTTGGTTGTAATGGATCCCTTCAATCTTTGTTATCAGAATGGGACAATCCAGTATTTCCCCGTTACCCAGAGGTAGGTTTGCAGCAATTTTTTTTTTTTTTCCTGTTCTTTTAAAATTTGAACTTCATTTAAGCCAGGTATGGCCTGTTGTAATTGTGACCAAAATTAGGCTTGTTTCCAAATAACTTTTCTGAAAATTTATGTTTCATGTACAGATAAGGAAAGAACATTTCAGAAGTTTAGGCATTTTTGGATTAAATGTGTATATTTGGTGTATGAGTAGTGAGTGCATTTACCCTCACTCACAACTTCAATAAAATATTCAGAGTGATAATAAAACTGTTCTGTTACCATTAGACAAAGCAAGAATCTTCTACTGGAGGAACAGTTCATTATTGGGCCTGGGTACATGTTCTTTTCTTAGTGTTATCACAAAGTGTACTTTGTGTATTAATGAGGGCATATAATAGATGAATATTTGACTGCTGAGTCTTCAGTTAAAATGTCTTTAAGAGCTTGATCACGCAACATAGGCAAGTTGTTCCAAAGCAGTATTGTTTCTTGTCAATAATTTTATTTATAAACAAAAATTGTTAGGCTATTTTTAGAGCCTTTTGAATCTCTGTGTTCCCTGAATTCAACCAACCTTTACTAGGTTATATGAAAGAATATTTTTAAAGAACTTCGAGGCCCTTGGTAAAACAATTTGCAGACATAAAATTTAAAATTTAAATTATGTTTTGTTGGGTCTTTCTAGATTGCTGTTGATGTAAGCAGTGGCCAGGCTGAGAGCTTAGCAGTTAAAATTCACAACATCTTATATCCCTATCGTTTCACCAAAGAAATGATTCATTCGATGCAGGTAAAAATTGACTTTAAAACATGTGAAACCAAACTAGACTAACTCTTGTGAAAGTGGACTTAATTTAATGATAAAGACAACACTGATCAAGGAATGTGGGTTTTGTTTTTGTTTTTTTAACTTGCTGGAACTTTTATCATCAGAAGAAAAAGCAAGGGATTAAGTATGATTGCAAAGAAAGAAATGTTCCTACAAGTATGAGCAGGCTTGGAGAGAATGAATTATGGATTCGGGCTTATAGTTTCAAGAACTGTGGATTTATCTCTACAGAGGAGTATGTTAACTTTGTATTTTATAATTTATAAATCTTTGTTGTCCTTAACTGTGCAAAGTGCCCTTTTAAAAATAACCCTTTGTTATGTGGGGCTACAAGGCTTAGGAACCCTAGATTGAGTGTTCCATCCAAACCCTGGGTGTTGACTACAGGGTTTTAGGGGAGCTTTATGTACCTGGGTGCTTTCCCCCATGCCCTATACTGGGAATTGAATGCATACATGCTAGACTAGATCTCTACTGCTAAGCTTCGTCCCTAGCCCAACTTCAACATTCTTTTATCCTTCCTAGGGACTCCCTCAGGTTTGGTAGCACCTTACCTTAATCTTAGATATGAATGTTAAAATTTTTTCTTCTGTGCAGATAAGCATTTGCTAATTTTTACTTAGTGTTATACCATTTATTGAATGTATGGCAGGTTCTCCAGCAAGTGGATAACAAGTTTATTGCCTGTTTAATGAGCACTAAGACTGAAAAGAATGGCGAAGGAGGTAAGAATAGAGTTTTAACCTAGATTAATAAGTCAGTTCATCTTCTGATAACCTGCTTTTAAGGTTATTTTTGGTATATAGTGCAGTTTCAATGATTCAGACAAGATTAAGAAAAATCAATCTAAACTAACAATAGTATGAAACAGCCATTTTAAAATACACTTAGTTTTATGTATACACACACACACACACACACACACAAGATACACATTAAACTATTAACTAGTTGCTTTCAAGTAATCAAAGGGAAAATTTTATCATTTACTCTTTAAAATATTTTATACTGTTGACATTTCAATATTTTTATCCTTTGTTTTTGTTTTTTTAGACAGGATCTCACTATATAGTTTAGGGTGGTCCTGAACTCACTATGTAGCCGAGGCTGACTCAAACTCCTGGGAATCCTCCTGCCTCAGCTTCCTGAGTGATGGGATTATAGATGTGTGCCACCAAGCCTGGCCTTTAATAATGTTTTTTATGGGCTGGGGATTTAGCTCAGTGGTTCGGTGGCCTGCCTTGCAAGCGCGAGGACCTGAGTTCGATTCCTGGTACCAAAAAAAAATAATAATAATGTTTTTATGCTCTCCCTGTATAATAACAGAATGTTTATACAATGAACTCTGGTATGTTTATCAAGAATTATATAGAATTTCTTGGTGGCTTGCTTTAATCAAACAATAATACTTTGTAAGTAACATTGACTCTTTCAACACATATTGAGTGTGTATTTTATGCCAGCTACTATACCAGGCCTTAAGGATACAGTGTTGAGAAAAGATAGACATGCAGAAGTAATTAATACAAACATAAAATTTTAACTGTATCTCTATAGGCGATAAAATAAATAGGAGATAATAGAAAAACCTGTTTTGTCAGGGAGACCAAAGAAACATTCTTGGTAAAATGATATCTAAAGTATAAATACAAGTTAAGTAGGATAGAAAAGAGGGAATAACATCTATAGTTTCTGATTTCCTCCTCTTCCATGAGCAGAAGCAGGAAAAGTACACCTGGAGATGAGGATAGAGAAATACGTAGGACCTAGATCTTAAGTGCCAGTTACAAGTTTTTGTTTTTTGTTTTGAAACAGGGTCTCACTGTGTAATTCAGGCTTTCTTGAACTCAATTTGTAGACCAGGCTGGCCTTGAACTTGCTGTGATCCTCCTTTCTCAGCCTCCTGAGTGTTGGGATTTTAGGGGTGTGCTGCCACATCTGTCAGTTATAAGATTGGATTTGTCCCAATACCAGCTGGAAACAAGTGAAAGTTTTTTGTTTTGTTTTGTTTTTGTACCGCGGATTGAACTCGGGTCCTTGCACTTACAAGGCAGGCCACCGAATCATTGAGCTAAATCTCCAGCCCTTGTTTTCTTTTTTTAATTATTTGACTTTTGATGTTGTTTTGGGATGGTATGTGTCACATTGCATTTTGAAAAAATTGCTCTGGTTAGAGTGGGTTAGAATCCCAGTATTGTAATTCCAGAGACGCTATTAGAAGGACATTATAATACAGAACAGTACCTTGGAACTGGGGAACTATGGAGAAATAAATGCATTGGGAAAATGTTTAGAAGATAAAGTCAACAGAACTTGGTGACAGGGAAACATATCAAAGATAACTCCTAGGTTTCTGGTCTCCACAGCTGGACAGATGATGTTGCAATAGCATATTGGAGATATAGCCGGCTGGAAGGGTGAAAATCTTGAGTTTATTCTAAATTCTCTTTGAAATGCTCAAGAAGAAATGCTAGGAATGTACTTGGGTATTACATGTGTAGACCAGAAAAGTGTTGTGATCGAGTGATAAAAATTTGAGTTGTCAGCACAAAGTTGGTCATTGAAATTCTGAGTGTAATTTTTTTTTTTTAAAGTACTGGAGATTGAACCTAGGGCTACATTCTCAGCCTTTTTTTAAATTTAATTTTTAAATTTTGAAACATGGTCTCACTAAGCCAGTAAGATGCCCAGGCTGGTTTCCAACTTGTGATCCTCTTGCCTCACCTTCCCAGGCTGCTGGAATTACAGGTGTGTGCCACTACACCTGGCTGAACCCAGGGTCTTTGCATTGAGCTACAACCACCACCCATATTTTACTTGTTATTTTGATTTGGGGGTGTGTGTGGATTTGAGACAGGGCTTCTCTTATGTATTTCAGACTGGCCTTAAACTCATTATGTAGCCCAGGCTGACCTCCAACTTGAGGCAATCTTCTGCCTCTGCCTCCTGAGTGTTGGGACTACAGGTGTGTGCCACCATGCCTGGCTTGTTATTTTGAAACAGGATCTTGATAAATTGCTAAATTGCATAGGGATCAAACTTGAGATTCTCCTGCTTCAGCCTCCCAGAGTGCTGGGATTACAGGCATGCACCATCACACCCAGCTTCCTGGGTATAAATTTTATCACCTGGAGAAGAATGAAGAGTGAGAAGAGGTCCTGAATCTGGAGTAATTCCAACATTTAACAATAGTAGAGAGCCAGGGATGTAGCTTAAATAAATTTTTCTAAATTAAAATTCAGGAATTTTTATTGCCATTCATAAGTCCCAAATGCAGCCTATTCCTATAATTGATTTACTTTAGATACTTACATATTTTAATGGAGATATATATA